AATATATTTTTTATTGATTTTTTTACAGAGAGGAAGGGAGATAGATAGTTAGAAACATTGATGAGAGAGAAACATCCATCAGCTGCCTCCTGCACATCTCCCACTGGGAATGTGCCCACAATCAAGGTACATGTCCTTGACCGGAATCGAACCTGGGACCTTTCAGTCCACAGGCTGACGCTCTCTCCACTGAGCCAGACTGGTTTCAGCTCAAATATATATTTTACCTATTAGCCTTTATGGTATCACTTTGTTCTGTTAATTTATATAAGACTTGTTTTTACTGTTGCAAGAATTCATCCTTTCTTTGTCTTACTGTAGGAAAAAATGGTTCAGCCAGATGAGGAATACTATCTTGCATAAATCTGAGGAAAGACCTCCACTACCTCACTAACTTCATTGTTGGAATGCCACTTAGTTTTTATCAAGATCCAGTGAATTCAGATGCTGAAACTCTACTGTAGTTTATCGCACTTGAACCATTAAGGCCAGGGTTTTTGTAAGTCATGTGCACATATGGGAACAGTTGTATAAATTAAAACAGGGTTCTAGATTGCTGAGTATTTTTATTTTTTATCTTTGAAATGTGCTATTATAAAACCAATGCTGAATGTAACTGCAAATTTGAATCTATAAAGCGTTAAAATCTTTACTTACAAAGAAAAAAATATACTTAGGCCCCTCTTCATTCAGTGTCAAAGGTTATTTTTGGATTTTGCTTAAAAATCTATTTTCGTATGAAAATAAAAGGTAAAATAAATGTGGGCTATCGTCTGACTTTACATTTCACAGATATACAATAAAGCTATCATATTATTACCTTAATTCTAAGAAATGACAATCTTTCAAATAGTTTCCTATTTGTTTGGAGGTTGAAGTATGTTGTACCTATCAGAGAATATGTTTCATCTTTTGAAATACCTATTATAAAACTATTACATTTCAGGTTCTTTTCCTTGACCAAAACTTTGGTGGAAAAGTAGAGAATCTGACCCAGGGTAAATTCAAACTGTGTTCAGACTTAAACATTTTTGAAGTACTGTAACTAATGCCTTAACTCCATGGTACAGAAATACATTATTTCTCTAAAAATAAGAATAGCAGCTCTTGGTCATAATGAAATGTGTGGCAACAGAATTATTCCCACGGGATACTGAAGTATGAAACCACATGAAATAGATTAGGTTTTAAAATATTTCCAAGGACTCTTTTCTAGGCCCCCTAGACAGCTTTTGATCTATGGCACATAGTTACGCCACGTTTCTACAATACAGAATAGCAGTGCAGTAATCCTCATCACTTAGGTTTATATTCCTAAAAAGTTGTTTGGCTACAACTGGACCATTAAGATATGGGATAAATATAGTACAATGAAGACAATGGAAGTGACATAAAATTTACTAGTACATAGCAAGTTCTGGAAGGCATCTAATTCCAAAACAAAAATTGATTTGGTAGTATCTTTTGTACCTACATTCTTCTTGGTTTCATTTTCACAAATCTTAGCAAAATGCTTAAAATCCTGGCCTATTCAGTTGTCGAAATCTTTCAGGGACACATTTTCTTGTTCTATCCATGTACTGTATGTGAGGGTAAAATTACTTCTTTCTAAACTACCACATGAACCCTCTCTATATTCCCAAATAAACAGGAATGGAAGGTAATCATTAGGTCTTCTGTTTAAGGGTAGTGAACTGAACCACACAACCACAAATAAAGATAATACCTAAAACAACAGTTGTGTGGGCAACCAAGTTCTCAAAACTTTAAGAGTCTTCTGGAATAAAAGAAGTGAGGTAATTAGTGTATGAAGCCAAATACCTGGTTCCAAAACTTTTTTCCAAAGAAAGTTTATTACCTCTGACTATTATGTATCATCAAGCCCCCCCCCCCAAAAAAATCAAGGTTATTGCATCAAATACTTATCCATGGAAAATACTTGAACATTGTGGAATGTCAGGTACTAAGCACCAATTACTAAGCAGGAGGGCCTCCTCCCTCATAGGTGCAAGGGCAATGAGTAACCCAGAGAAGCAGGTGACCACATAAGCAGTAAACGCTCATGGATTAAAAATTAAAAGAATTTCACATTCTCTCCAAAGTGCACTTGCCAGTGTCTGGCACATGAATGTTACAATATGACAATCTGCTCCTTTATTTTTGAGCACCCAAGTTTATTGTAGGGAATTAGACATGAAAATTACAGAATTTGGCCCCAAGTACAGTGGAGGGAGAACACCATCAGGCACCAAATGTGCTGATATCACACTGAAAAAGGTTGACTAAAAACACTGCAAGTGTGATCTAAACACAAAGAAAATACTCAGTGATGTGGATTTATATGCTATGTACTAGACTTCTCTATCAACAAATAAGGATAATTCTGCAAAAACTGACAACTTACGCTAAATAATTGTTTACCTGAAGAAAATATGAAATCCTATTATAGTTCAGAAAATAATACAAACAGTTTTAATTTAATCTAGATACAGGTACTTTATTTACAAATATTCAGATTAAGAGCATTTTGTTACATCAAATGAAGAGTACAGCAGTCTGAATAAATCCTGTCACAAAACAATAAGACCCACTGTAACTAACTTTGGAAATCAGGGTATTGCACCTAAACAAGCCACGGTCTTTAGTTTGTGATTGCTACCTTATATCCCAATGGGTGGTTTGTTTTGTCTTTGTAAATATATACACACACCGGCAGGTCATGGTCCCTGGGTGAGTCCCTTGTGATGCAACAGTGTGAGCAAAATGGATCACTGTAAGTCTTTAACAGAATATACCAATCTACTCCAGGAATCTTCTTTTTAAAAAAGTTTAAGACAAATAAAAATGAGTCCCCAAATTAACCAAATCCTATTTTCTGCACATTCCAGTTTTGGCTTTTATTTAACGTTGACTATACAATACTCTGGTACTACCATGTTTACAACCCAGAAAGTTGTATTTTTTTTACTTTAGTGTCTGTAAAGAGGGATTTAAAATGTGTATTTTAAACACAGCAGTTGAGCTGAGTGTATTTTATATAATCTACCGAGGTTTACCTATCCTGTACTTCAATAACTTCTGAATTCCCAGCCTGATCTTTAACCTCAGAAATCAGTCAACAGAAGTAAAGAACTTGGTAAAACCTAAGTTTCTTATCTAAAGAAATAAGATTGTTTCCCTTGCAATACTGTATTCTTCAGTGGCCAAACCATCTCAAGTAATAACTTACTTTGTATCAGCACAAACATTGAAACACTGTTAGAAACACTTTGCCTTTTATAAAACAATTTATGCCAACATGACCAAAAATAGCACTTCATACTTAAGAACACAAGGGATACCTTAAATTATTTCACTGTAGTGTTAAAAATGCACAATTTAAAATCCCTTAACAGCAGACCTATGGTTCAGAATCTCAACCATTCCAAGAAGATAAAGGTATAAAAGCTTAAAATGTGCAATAATAAACCCAGCCTTTTTTCTTTTTCTATACAGTAAGGCAAGAAATGCAGCCTGTAATGCAAAATGTTTACAAAAAAGAGAAAAGCAGGTTTGCACATTGTTGATTGCACAAGAACAGTTAAGAAAATCTGCAGGTAAGCCACAGTGCAAAGATGAACAAAGATGAGCTAGTGTTAATCCTCTCACGCTAGGAGCTCTTTACAGCATAATGTCCCCAAATTGCCAGCACCAATGGGTGGAGCCAGTATTACTTGTGAACTGCAGTTGTGTCTATTTCCTTGTGTGAAATGGAAGGGAGTAACATGGTCACATATAGGTCTTACTGTACAAACTGGTATTTTATACTGTTCCAATGCCAGTAATCAATTTATTTTCTTCATTAAAATAATATACACAGAATGTATTGTTAGTTCAGTTCCTTCAAAATTTATACATATTTACTTTCTGCTAAAGAGAAAAGGATAAAATGATGTAAAAAAAAAAATAAAGCTATTAATTAAGCACAAGAGAGAAGCTGATAAGTGGATATTTTCCCTGTACAAGGCTAAGACAGAAGCAAACCTCCTCAAGAAAAATGCCACCCACACAACAGGGAATTTATCTGACAAAAACAAAACAAAAGCAGTTATAGAACCCCTTCTCTATCACCAGAAGCCATTTCACAGCAATAAACTTCTTGGTTACAACAGACATACTTGAACAGTTAAAGATGGGGAGAAAGGTTTAAGATATCAAATTAAACCGTACAGTGAGACAAAGCCCTGCCAAAAAGAGGGAGGGGTAAAAATCATGAAGTCCAGCATCAGTGCTCAGTTTAAATCATGTATTGGTGACATACCTAACATGAGGACAATCAAGGGGAAAAAAAGTCTAGATTTACCATGCAGGAGAGATTACTTGCTTTTGATAACCTGATTACACCTAGTTGTTTAGCAGTTTAGTATTGTGTTAAACTGTTTTTAAACAGAGTTGTTTTTTCTTTTGTTTTTTTAATTAAACCCAGTAAGATGTACAGAAGACAACGAGGCAGTAAAAAGTACTGCTTCCAACAGACAGAGGTGAAAGGTCAAATGAGAGCCACAGCAAAGAGGTCACTAGCAGCCACAGCCTTCTCTCTGGGGTTGGGGTTCACTGGTTAGCCGTCCTCCCTGCGGAGCTGAGGGTTTGTGCTGTACACCAGACTCGGCAGCATTCAGATCCAGGCTTCCATCCTGAATGTTCTGATAGATTTTCTTGGCAGCCTCGAGGAAAGCATCTTCTACGTTCTCTCCCCTAAGAGGCAATTGACAACTTTATTCGAGAACCACAGTTTTCTACAAAAGATAAGACATTATACACTGACCTTTTGCTAAACTTTAGTCAACTGCCATGATGTCTTCAACTTAGCCATTGTTATCTAATAAGAGATTACCAGAAGACTGAGCTAAGAGAACAACATGGGGAAATATTTTCTGTGGAAAGCATATAAACACAGTACTGAGCTATTTCTACAAACCCTATTTGATAACTGTATGTGTTCTAGTCATTAAAATGCTAACATATTAATATATAAGTTAAAATAGGTCATTTCTGTAATGATATTCTACCAGAAATGAAATCTCCAAACATGCACACTTGATTCCTGGATCTGAAGAGTCTGATTAGCCAAGCATGAACTGTACTGTTTTTATCATGTGATGGTGGCATATTCATGCTTAGCCATATTCACACTTCAGTTCAATTCTCTTAGGACTAACAGTACAGATGAATAAAAAAGGAGCTAGCTTCTTACCAATGCAAGGAATTTTTGGCTTAAATAAATAATTATAATGAGCCCCAGGGTTCAATAATGGACATCCTATATAATAAAAGGGTAATATGCAAATTGACCCTAACAGCAGAACAACTGGGAATGACTGGTCACTATGACACACACTGACCACCAGGGGGCAGATGCTCAATGCAGGAGCTGCCCTCTGGTGGTCAGTGCACTCCCACAGGGGGAGCTCTGCTCAGCCACAAGCCAGGCTGATGGCTGCCAGCACAGCGGTGGTGGCGGGAGCCTCTCCTGCCTCCTTAGCAGCGCTAAGGATGTCCGACTCCAGCTTAGGCCTGCTCACCACTGGCAAGTGGACATCCCTCAAGGGCTCCTGGGCTGCCAGAGGGATGTCTGACTGCCAGCTTAGGCCCGATCCCCCCGGGGAGTGGGCCTAAGCCAGCAGGTGGACATCCCCCGAGGGGTCCCAGACTGCGAGAGGGCACAGGCCAGGCTGAGGGAAACCCCGAGTGCACAAATTTTTGTGCACCGGGCCTCTAGTGGGATAATAATTAGAAAATGTTAATTATGCTTCTAATTACCCTTAGACATTGAGTTATTTCCTTAACTCATGCTTTTTACCATGATCAGAAGTATTAAGTAGGTTGATCAAGCTTGAGTCCAAGATGCCAAACTCAACCTCAGTTGTGAAAGTCAAACACTTGAAATGTTTACACAATTTCATTTATTAACATGGCTTACCAGTGGGCAATCAAGGTAGAATCTTTTAGGTAAAGTAACAAAAAAATATTATTTTGAAATGTCAAATAGGAAGCAAAGGATTGCTTACTGTTCCTCTAGCCATAAGCATTAGGTATTTATGTATCATACATTTTATGTACAGGTGACCCTGGAACAACGTGAGGGGGGTTGGGGCACCGACTTCCTTGCAATCAAAAATCTGCTCTGAACATGCAAATTCCCAATGATGGAGTTGTCCCTTGAATTAGGTGGTTTTCAACTGTGCCAGCCAATTGAACTGCACAGGTCAATTTAAAAAATCCTCATATGGCCCTAGCTGGTTTTGCTCAGTGGATAGAGCATCAGCCTGTGGTCTGAAGGGTCCTGGGTTCCATTCCAGTCAAGGGCACATGCCCGGGTTGTGGGCTTGATCCCCAGTAGGGGGAGTGCAGGGAGCAGCCAATCAATGATTCTCATCATTGATGTTCCTATCTATCCTTCCCTCTCCCTTCCTCTCGGAAATAAAAATATATTTTTTAAAAAATCCTCATATGGCCCAGCAGATGTGGCTCAGTGGTTGAGTGTTGACCCATGAACCAAGAGGTCACCAGTTCTGGTCAGGGCATATGCCCAGGTTGCAGGTTTGATCCCCAGTAGGGGGCATACAGGAAGCCGTCAATCCAGGATGTTTCTCTCATCCATGTTTCTATCTCTCTATCCCTCTCCCTTCCCCCTCTCTCTAAAAAATCAATAAAAACATACTTTTTTTTTTTTAAATCCTCATGATTGGAATCATGCAGTTCACATCCATGTTGTTTATGGGTCAACTGTATATATACATTATACATTTTTTCATATCTATGTTCTATTTGAGAAATTTAAATGTATTTGAAAATTATCTAATTTTAGCCATACTTACGTTTTTGCACTTGCTTCAAGGAACAATAAGCCTAAAAGTAAATTTCAGACTGATTAGGACATTTCAAATTACCTCACAAGGACATTCTCTTTAGCAACATCTGAATAAAAGTTAAAGCTTCCCATCAGCTTTCAATATTTTATGAAAGAGTATGAATGTGAAATGGAGGGAATAATAGTACTCCTTCCCCCAACACATGAATTCTCAAACACATTTTGCAATTCCCTCATCCTTGAAATTTGAATAGTTTGCATCAAAAAATAATTGTTAAATAATTTGCAGGATCAAAATCCTTAGGAATTCTCCCAAGGGTGACCCTCCCAAAAAGCCATTAAATGTCTTAAAAGAAACCCACCATTTTCTTCAGCGAACTGTTTGGCTTCTTCATAAGTAACATCTCTCTGTGCCTCCAAATCTGCTTTATTTCCTATGAGAATTATTACCTAATGTGTGACCAAAAGAAAGACATCTTAAAACAAAGCAACCAACTTAAATCAGCCATAAAAATTCTGAAATCAAAAAATCTTGATAGAAAAAAACATGTGGGCCTAATAAGAAAAACAAGTACTAGCAATTATCCACCAGACAGGACTATAGAATCATGAAGCCATTAGTATTAAGATGGATTCTCAGCAATCTTCTAGGCCAGGGGTTCATAAACTTTCTGTAATAGGTAGAGAGGATATATTCAAGGTTTTTGAGTCCCATGTTATGATTTCTTTATATATGCTTCTTTGTTTTGTTTTCAACAATTGTTTAAAAATGTGAAAAACACTCTTAGCTTACAAGCCATTCAAACACAAAATAGCCCATGAGGCCCACCTGGACTAGGCCAAAGGTTATGATTTATCTACTTAAGATTACTAAGTGTCCATGGACAAGCTCCAGGGGATCTGTGAAAGCACAGAATGAAACAAAATGTAAACAAGGGCAGTTCCTGAAGAGGAAGTTTGTGGCTTTCATCAGATTTTCAAGTTTTTGGGACCCTCAAAAAGTTTACAAACTACTAATTCAACTCCTTCAGGCTACTGGTAAAGAAATTAAGGCTCAAATAAGGCAGAGACTTGTCAAAGGTCAGTTAATGAGTTAGTGGTAAGGGACATTAGAACCCAGGTCTAACACTCAAACTATGAACTTCAGACAAATGCGTCCTACTGATAACGAATGTCTATTCATTGAGTCAGTAGAAACACATATGCAATGAATTCAAATCCAAGGCAAACTATCATACAACTATATCCATTTTGGAATCATTTTATACAAGTGGAAGTTAGGCCAAAGTTAAAGGCAGCTCTGAAAAGTTCTAAGAATAAGTGTGCAGCCTTGGGAAATAGGTGGGATTTTTGTTGTTGTTTTTTTTTTGGGGGGGGGGGGACAGATTTATGAGTGGACTATTTCTGCCTATAATTTGACACCAACTAACAAACCCACTCTCCCCGTTCCAAACTGATGTGCTAATCCAGATATGGATACTTTAGAAATGGATGGTTTCAACTGAAAGGGATTTCCACAACCATTAACTTCTTTTCATGTGAAAATACAACCCTCCCACTTCCAAAAACTGGTGTCCAATAAACTTTTAATCTGAATGTAATTGAGGATAGTTAAGCAGTAACAACCTACTTCAGTCAACCTATAGGTTTGTTTATACACTTACAGTGAGTATAATGTAATGATGGATATGAAAGTTCTAGGCACAGTCCCCGTCATAATAGGCAAACCATGTTAACTGACTCTCAATATAATTAAATTGTTGTTCCCTGATAAAAGCCAGTGTTACCACTGATTACATATTTATTGAACTGGGCCTCTGCTAGGTGCTGAGGTACAAAGCTAAGTGAGACACAGGCCTTGTTCTAGAGAAGTTTAGAGTTAGTCACACCTCTGCCTTTCCTTACTTGGCCCTGAAATACCCTCAACAGCATCTACTAAAATCCCTGAAATCCCAGCTCAAACCCCCTACCGCCTCTCTAAAGCTGATTTCTCCAGATGCCACTGCTCATCCTGGGCTCCCATCAGCACACCAGTCACTCTATTCTAACTCATATTTCATTCTGCTTTTCAGCACAGTTATTTGTATTCCCATAGGTAATCTCCCTGCTAGACTATAACATTTTGTGGGCCAAGGATCCAAATTTATCTTTAGTTTATACTACAGAGTCTAGTATGGTGACTTGGCTTCTAAAAAAATCTCAGTATCTTCTCAGTCTAAGAAGCTAATTTTTTAAAGCATGAAGAATTCTACTTTTAATTGAAATTTATTGAGATAATTGTAGATTCACATGTAGTTGTAAGAAATAATGCAGAGAGATCTACACTTTGCCCAGGTTCCTCCAATGGCAACATTTTATGAAACTAATGCAGATCCCTTTTAAAGTGGTAGTTTCAGATTTCATAGTCTCCACTTGACATGAGATCACCATCCATTCATAACTTTTTTTTCAACCACAAACATGAATAAACACCAAATATAAAATGTGAGACCTGGGGTAATTAGTACTGGAAAAAAATGTTAAGTTTTCTTCAATTAATTTAAGAATAAAATAAAGATTCTCATTCTTAGTACTCAAATACAAAAATCCCGCTAGCAAATGGCTTTCCTTTTGGGGTTAGCTTAGATCTTAGATATCGTTTAACTTACAGTATTTGGATTGGTGAGATTCCTTGCATCTGTCAACCAGCTGCTTAAGTGGTTATACGTACTTCTTCTGCAAAATTTAAAGTTTACATTTATGACTGCCACATATAATTGCCATTTCAGCAGAAAAAAAAAGAAACTTCAATAAGTATTTAAAATATAGACTTTAATCAACAGATCCTAAAAAAGTATTTTTGCTTTGAATAGACTGTAACCCTAAAGAACAACAGTTATAGAATGCAAACACATACAATACACTGGTATAAAATTCACCTTTCTAGGGAAGGGATTAGATGTACAAATTGCCAGCTATAAAAACAGTCATGAGGATATAAAGTACAGAATGGGGAATATATATTCTAATAACTGTATGGTGTCAGATGGGTACTAGACAAATTGAAGTGATCACCTTTTAAATTATAGAAAGGTCTAATGCAGCGGTTCTCAACCTGTGGGTCGTGACCTCTTTGGTGGTCGAACGACCCTTTCACAGGGGTCGCCTAAGACCATCCTGCATATCAGATATTTACATTATGATTCATAACAGTAGCAACATTACAGTTATGAAGTAGCAACGAAAATAATTTTATGGCTGGGTCACAACATGAGGAACTGTATTTAAAGGGTCAGAAAGTTGAGAACCACTGGTCTAATCACTATGTTGCACACCTGAAACTAATATTGTTATGTCAAATGTATTTGAAAATTTAAAAATTAAAATCCACCTTTTCTTAAAGAATAAGCTAATTATAGCAGCATAAAAACTGGCTTTAAAGCCCTGGCTGGTATGTTCAGTGGTTAGAGCATTGGCCTGCTGACCAAACGGTCTTGGGGTCAATTCCTGGTCAAGGGCACATGCCTGGGTTGCAGGTTGGATCTCAGGCCCGGAGAGGCAACCAATCGATGTCTCTCTCACATCGATGTTTGTTTCTCTCTCTCTCTTCCTCCCTTCCTCTCTCTGTCCCTCCCTTTCACTCTCTCTAAAAATCAATTGGAAAATATATCCTCGGGAGAGGATTAACAAAAAATAAAAACTGGCTTTAAAAAAAGGCACTGAATACATGTCACTAGAAATTCAAGTCCCCAGATATCAGAATGTGAGTTTATCCTAACTCTGTACTCTTATTCATCAGCAGCTAAATCATTTTGGGATTCAAACTGCCCTATTTGTCCACTTTCTACAAGCAAGAGTTTAAAAATTCACAGGCTCATTTGCACTAGCCAAGAAAGCCCTGAAAGAGCAAGCAAACCCAAATAACTTACAATATTATGGAGTATAATATTAATCAGACATTACCAAAGGGGTCAGAATAATAAAAATTTTAAAGGTTAAAAATGTTTTTGATTTATATAGATTCACAGAACATTAATCCATCTTACTCATTTAACAGGTGAGGAAACAGAAGCCCACAATGATTTAAATGATTTCAGAGCCAGGCCTAGGACCTTTATACACACTGAGTCCTCAAAGTGTTTCAAGTTTAGCCCCGTGAATAGAATATTCCATAATATCCAGTTGCCAGCGCTCATTTGAAATTCAATATTCAAAACATTTAATTCTTTCCTAGTGGAACTGAAAGGAACTCTTTGCTCAGACTCTATTTTTACTGTGCTATATCATATACACAAATTACCACTTAAATGTACAAAAAAGCCACATAAATAAAAATAACTTTTCCCAGTGTTTTAAAAATTTTAATAGTCAAATATTTTTTAAAAGCACAAGCTTTATCACTGCTCAATATTTGTAGTACCAGCATACCTTGCTTTTACACAAAAAATGTATCTTCGTGCATAAAACCTTAAATAACACAACTCCAAAACATTTATACTGATTTTGATGAATATTAAATTGTCAACGCTGGCAGAAACAGTGAATTACAAACTGGCACCACTTTAGTAAAAAGAAAAATCTACACATCCTTTGTAAGTGGTATCAAGATTATGAAAACCATATTATTTACATGTACCATATAACTTCTGCTCATTGATCTGGTAATTGTTTCATTAATTTAAAATTCACAATCATAATTTCAAATCTATAAATACAGTATCATCCAAATATTCATTACGTGATGGTATTAGAGCTAAAAAAAAAAAAAAAAGGTGCTAAAATATCCCTAACTTTGTCATGGATGTTAGATATATCAAACAATTGATAGAGCCATACAAACTACCATGATAAGCTATGCTATCAATTTAGGAATGTACCCTGTAACAATTAGAGTTAATGCCAAGAATAAAAGTATTATTAAAGCAGGAACTTCTAAGTTTGCAAAATGTCAAGGATTTATAGAAAAAAATCGGGGTGGGGGAAGGGGAGGAAATACTGTCATGGTTGCAACATCAATGTCACGGTGAAGTATCACTGAGTTAAGAAAATACCTATCTAAAGCCTAAAGTACTTTTACCAGTAAACAGTTTTATTGGGATATAATGAACATACTATAAAGCTCAACCTTTTAAGGTATACAATATAGTGGTCTCAAAAATATTCACAAAGCTGTGCAATGATCACTACTTTCTAATTCCAGAACATTTTCATCATGAAAAAAAGAAACCCCATACCCATTAGCACTCACTCCCCATCCTCTAGCAATCTCCTTTGTCTCTACACATTGGCCTCGTACGGGTATTTTATATAAATGGAATCATACATGTGGCCTTTTTTTTCTGGCTTCTTTCACTTAGCAAAATGTTTTCTAGGTTCAGCCACTGAATAGCATGTATCAGTGTTTCTTTCCTTCTAATGATTGAATTTTATTCCATTGTATGCATATACCACATCTATTCATCCATACATTCATTAGAGATGGACATGTGGGTTGTTTCTAGCAGAAGTACTTTTGATAACTTAAACAGACACACATACCAAAAGCATTTACTATGCTTAAAAGGTAAGTTTAAAAGCAAAGCATATATGCATCAAATCATCACACTATATGCTTTATACAATGTTATATGTCAATTATGTCTCTATAAAGCTGGGGAAAAAAGACACATACACCAAAAAGACAAACTACCACTCTATACATTGATATACTGTAAGCACATATAACAATATTTAAATTTTATATTAATTCATGGAGTTTTTAATTATGTGAAGTCTTTGGGAATGCATCTCTCATAAAAAGATGTCCTGTACAGATGGCCAAGTTTTTAAATAGTCTTTCCACAAAACTATTTACTGATCTCTGCCTGGCTATATAGAGCCATTAAGGTTGTTTCACTGTTTTAAGCCTGAAATCATCCAAGCCTAGGAAACAGCAAAAAGCATTTCCCAAAGGAAAATATGCTTGAAAATCTAATTATCACTTGGTCCCATTCACTGGTTCCTACCCCACCACCCAAAGTCAGAGTCACAATGCTTTAGACTGACACTTTGCATTAATGTGAAAGGTGATTCAGTTCATTTTCTAACTTATAGTAGACAAACAGAGTTTAATGAAGTGGCATAATTTTCCATGTTTTCCAAAGTCAAACATCCACGGTCCAATTTTGTTACTTTGTATAAAGTGCTTTGACTTTCCAGAAATAGTTAATTTGAAATAAATTTATTCTCACTGCCTAAAGTACTATAAGCCACTTTAGTCCATTTTAGGACAAAAAATAATTTAATTAAATGCTCAAACACCTTCATATGCAAGTGTAAGAACTTTTTATAATCTACCATGTTGGATTAGCAAAACTACTTAATTTCTTGCTTGGCCTTATTTTGAAGAAGTGTAAACTTTAACACTAGAGACTAACTCCTCAAGACTTGATTGCTTTCTACTGAAGTGAAAAGAACAAAGTTTGGTATAAAATATTATTTCACCTCAAATAATTCAACTGATGCTGCTTTTCAGAATAGTATTCTTCTGTCAGCTCCACCAGCATCTCCTAAAGTTTTTCTTCAGTCATACCCACTTTCAGCAAAGGAAATCAACACATTATGTCAAGTCTTAAACAGCAATTTAGAGAAGAAACCATAAAACCCAAGTAAGCACATTTATAGTCACACAATTATAAACTTAGAAATATTTAAATCAATAAAAAAGAAACCATACTGCCTAAAGTAGATTTTTTTCCTAGTATAAAGGTGGAAAAGTTAATTTCTTACCTAGTGATATCATACACCATAAGCGCTCCTGCAGCTCCTCTGTAGTAGCTTCGTGTAACAGCCCTAAACCTCTCCTGTCCTGCTGTATCCCATATCTGCAGTTTGATTTTTTGGCCACTAACTTCAATTATTCTTGTACCAAATTCAACACCAATTGTGTGAGGACAATCGGCCATAACTGTTAGGGAGGAAAAGAAATATAATATAACATCCCAACTTCAAGAAAGTTTCAAATTAATACCAGTGGGGAGGAAAAAATCCACTGAATAATCAAATGACTTAGTACTGCTTATAGGCTATAAACAGACTAAAGCTTGCATATCTCTATATATAAAAGCCTATGCGAACTTTATGACTGGACGGCCAGTAGCTATGATGCACGCTGACTACCAGGGGGCAGATGCTCAACACAGGAGCTTCCCCCTGGTGGTCAGTGCACTCCCACAGCCAATCTCCTGCGGTCCCTCACCCTGGCCGGCCCCAATCAGCTCCGAACACTGGCCAGGTCGAGGGCCCCCACCCATGCATGAATTCGTGCACCCGGCCTCTAGTAAGTAATAAACAAACAAGCAAAAACCCAGAAGAAGTCATTGACATGGACTAGAACAGGGGTCAGAAAACTTCTGTAAAGGACTAGATCATAAATATTTTAAATTTAAAAATAAAGATAATAAGCTTTTTAAAATACCAATGTTATATTATTTATCCCTCTGACAATTCTTACATATAACAAATCAATCAATGGTCTTAGAACTCTAAGATTAGTCAACCAAATTTTTATCCTGGAAAATATACCAATATCTCAAAGAAAATCACCACATTTAATATATGGTAATAGTTCTATATTGGCAAGTTATATATGTCTAATCCAATAGAACAAAGTTATTAGTCCTTATAATGAGACCGCTGGAAATCTAAACCTACTATTCTCTGGTACAAGAATACACAGACCAATGGATACTTCATAAAATATTGTATTATGAAAAAAAAAGGCCACAGAAATTATTTCAACTATATGGAAACAATTTCAACTATATTAGCCTATTAATTACATAAAATGGCCCCTCCCATACCACCCAAGTGAGAGTTGTACTTTGAATCTTAATCAAGTCATCAATGCAGGTAAGATTCCATTTTAAGTATTTCCAATCTATTATTATATAGTTAACAAATGATACATGCAGCAAAATTCCCGTAATAAGGTAATTTCTATAATGAAAGTCTGAGAATAAAAAGATTTAAATTTGACATTACAGTATACATTTTTAAAAATTAAGTTTTACCATAAAAATGTCTCAAGTGAATCAAATTATATATGATATATAAAAATTAACATTGTATATGTCAGCATATTTCATTTTATCTGTACCTATTTAAAAATAGAATCATTCCCTAAAGACAAAAGTGCATGTTCAAATGCATAGAGTACACTGAAAATGACACTTTAAAAGGTAGAAAAGTGACAATAAATAAATAACTAATATTTCACCTTACATTTTAAACTTACATTTTTTTTCTGTAAATTGATGAAGCAAGCAAGATTTTCCTACTCCCATGTCCCCTGTTTAAAAAAAAAGTTTCAAGTGGCAATTACATTTCTCAATTTTATACTCATAATTATATACAATAACTGCTATACCCCTTAAAATATCACAAATTTCTTAGACACTTAGAAAAGTTGCATTTCCCTAATTTATAATGACTTTAAAAATCCTACAGGTCAGTTTTCACTAAGATGTACAAATTCACTATTCCCAACTTTTGACAGTAATAGAGTCTGGTTATAAATTATATTACTAGCCACCAGCTGGAAAGTATGGGCTTTTTCAATTTTTTGTTGTTGTTAATCCTCACCAGATAATATTTTTTCCATTGATTTTGAGAGAGGGAGGGAGGGTAGGAGGGAGGGACAAAAATGTGAGAGAGACACATGAATTGAGTGCCTCCTGGGGCCTGGATCCAACCTGCAACCCGGGTATATGCCCTTGACCAGGAATCGAACCCAAGATCCTTGGGTCAGCAGGCCAATACTCTAACCACTGAAAAACACGCGTCAGGGCATAAAGTGCTTTTTTAAAAATATATATATATATATTATTGTTTTACAGAGGATCAGCTGCCTCCTGCACACCCCCTACTGGGGATGTGCCTGCAACCAAGGTGCATGCCCTTGACCGGAATTGAACCTGGGATCCTTCAGTCTGCAGGCCCATGCTCTATCCACTGAGCCAAACCGGTTAGGGCAGAAAGTGCTTTTTTAACAGAGAAATTGTTCTAATCGTATTTTTTACTTTGAGCTGATTCAAAGTTTTATATTGTTCTTTCTCTGAACCATGCATAAAAGCAACAGACTCCTAGGAGTGACAAATAGGGCAGCAGCATATAACAAGCAGAAATGAGTTTTCGAAGCCTGATTCACTAGATCCTATCTTATCTCAAATTTTGTTTTTTTGCAAAATTCCACAAAAGAATATACACTACATGAAAACCATAACAGAACAAGTGTCACCTCTGTACTACAGCAATTTAACCTTTGGTGAAGGAAGCATTCCACTATAGTCACTTAAGATCAACATTAAACCAAACTGTTCTCATGTGAACAATTAACTGAAAAGTATATGTACTTTCAACTGTGCTCTTACAACTATATTTGGATAAACAGCATGGTCTTTCAATTTAAGTAAAATCGTCTTGAAACTTAAGGGAAAAACCATCAATATTATATTTTATGTGTATTACACAATTGTTCTGAATCAATGTTTGGAATCCAAAAATTGGGCTCTGAGTGGTTTTATGGTATTTTTGGAATGTATCAGCACTCCTAGGAAATTAATTTCTTTTCCAGTATTAACAAGCTTTCAGGTTTCCCCCAAGAACAATCAAGATCACTTCAACCAAGATACACTGTTCTACAAAAGTATCCAGAGCCACAAAGCAAAGAGTTCATTGTTAATGCAACTATAAATCTCAAAAGAGTTTGAATTTTGCACTGAGAAAGTCATCCACTTCTTCTGGAGTGGTATGTTAAGTACTAGTATATAAATATTTTGTATATTAACCTTCTTTGGAGAACAAGAGTGTAAGTTAAATAAACTTACCAATAATAATATATTTAAAGATGTAAGAGTAGTTGTATGGTGCAGTTGCCATGGTGGCACTAAAAACAAAGAAAACTGTGTTACTTCAGTAGAAAAGTATACATAAGTTATTCAAGCTGATAATTGCTATCCTTTAAAGGTACATAAAATAAAGCACACTGATTATAAACAATGTTGGTTACAGTAATTTGGAATAAAACTGCATTTCCCAAATTGATCAAAAGCACAAATTTTCATGAATGAACACTGCTTTAACATTCTCATGTATTATCAATGGAAATATAAGAAACCATTATATCAAAACAATTCTAATATTTCACATTAGGAAATATTTAATAACAAATGTTATTCTGGAAAACATTAAACAAGGAAATATTTATAAATTTGAGTTAACTATCATTATAAATAGTCCTCTTCTCCTCTTTAAGACCCATCCCTATTACTGGTCAAGTGACTTACTGATGGCCTACTTGTTCAGAACTCGCTGATTTTTAAAACAGAATCTTTTTTTTTTAAGTAACCACTAACTTATAAACACAATGTAACTTTTTAATTCCACTATAAATTAATGGTTAGCATAGTATCCAAAGAAAGAGCAAATCATTATTTCCAAACCAAATTAATGTCAGATTTATATTGAACCATATGAAACTGTTCTTGTAGATTTTTTTTAAAAAGTCAATCATTGGCAATTTCATACGGTTCAACCTAATGTAGGATTTAAAGATCAACAATATATCAAATGTCTGCTATGTACTATTTTAGGAGCTGAGAGAAATAATGGCATAAAATATTACTTGTGGTTGTAAAATTTGCAAGTTTATGTATCAGAATATATTTCAAAAGATCACAGCCCATTCCATAACTTCAGATAGACTTACCCTAAAGAATTCTAATTTCTCTCTTACTTTTAATAAGTTAAAAAAACAACTCCAATTTATTCAAATGAACGCTTTGAATGTGTCAGACACTGTTAGGTGCTAGAGAAGAGATGAATTCTAATACTGGTAATAACTTCCAATAAATTATTCTCAAACCAGTTTTCAGTTTAAGCAAAGATAAAAATTCTTTATATATATGAAGGTTTAACCTTCATTTTAAAAAATTTGAATTTCCAGTAATTTTTTTAATCTGGTTTTTACTGTTTTGGCCAACTGTCACATTACCTAAGCTATACATTTGGTATGACTGAAGAACTGAAACATGTATTTCAAATAAAATTTCTATATAACCTATAGAAAAAGTATATATGTAAAATAAATAAATTATTGTTATCAGAGAAGAGAAAGTTATAAATTACTGGACAATCATTTCACACAATACAGTCTCCTCTCTTAGTTGTAGGAAGTACATTCAACGAAAGTGGAGGCCCTGCTACCCATTCCAGCTTGACTTGTTTTAACACATTTATAATCAGTCTTTGACATCACAGAAAACTCCCTTAACCAGTTCTTTTAGGAAAGGGGGTTTTTCTAGTTAGATTAACTCTGATTCTGATCATCACCCTAACTAATTCCCTTTTTTCAGACACTGGGGACTCAAAATTTTTAAAAATGAACTTGGTCCTGAGGCAAAAATTGGTCTGAATTATTCACTAGATCTCTGAACAAGATCCCAAACACACAGAAAAAAATAACCTCTCTCAATAAAAATGGTATTTAAAGATTATAACGTCTCAACTTGCACACCTTCCAGATGCTTTTCTTCTAAGTAATTTTTAACTCTTCTTTCCCCCATTCAAACTTGGGGGAAAATAATAATTTAGTAACCTTTAGCTTACTGTTTCTCTCATGTTCTTCCCCTTCTGATTTTCCTGTTTCTTTTCTCCCTGTTCTTATTGAAAGTTGTAGCTGTACATACTTTGCTTCCTTCCATTTTATGTTAAAGCTATGGCCTCTAACAATATCAATTTCTACTTGAAATGCTCTAAAAGCTAATAATGAAATTATAACCCAATTCTAGTCATACTAATTTGTATACTAGCTAATTATCACATAAGTATTCATTAATCAAACATCTACTAAGATGACTCATTTGGAAAATGTTTTTTAAAATTACCAAGCATTAATTGCTATCAACTATTTCCAAATAAAAAAGAATGATTATTTCATTTCTAATACCTTTGCTGTCTCTACTTCACCACATAATTTTCTAGTTCAAGTTTCTTAAAAATTAAAATAAAAACCCTGAAAGCAGAGTTAAAGAAAAATGACTCAAATTTACTCATTTCAGTAGGTAAGGAAAGCAGAAAATATCTAGCACTGTAGCTACTAATACAACAGGTTCTCCCTTTCTTACTCTAAGGTAAGATACTAACTAGGTTTAAATATATTCCTATAGTTTATTGATAGCATTCACTCAAAATTATGTATTTGCAGTAGAACTATATTCAAGTGGCCTCTTTTATTTTTTTATTTTTCTTTTATTAAATTTATTGGGGTGACATTGGCTAATAAGATCATATAGGTTTCAAGTGTACATTTCTATGATACATGATCTGTATGTTGCATATTAAATATTTAACAGTGCTTAAAGCAAGGATTTCCCAACCTCATTTCTTGAACATGAAACTAAACCACTGTTAAAAGTGATGAGAAATATATTTGTAACTAGCAACCAGCTTTGGAAGGGGGAAAAAAGTTTTTTCCCTATTAAGGGGTGCCTTTGCTTCACTTATTCAAAAGTAAAAAAAAAAAAAAAAAGGCATTAGAAATGTTAATCTAGTTCAAATGCTCTGAAAACATGAGTCTAACTTTCTCAATACTATAATCTCCACTAATTAAAAAACCTTGGTAATATTCTATAACTTGTGCACAACCACTAGGTATTATTAAAATGCACTTTCAGGTTTTACAAAAACCATTTGAATAAAGTTCAAATCATACAGATCATGTTTAATGTCTTTGATTTCTTTAGGGAAAAAAGAGCACTACATTCAGATGACAGGTATCATTAAATATATGAACAACTTGTAAACTAATAACAAATACAACTGTTACAGTTATCACTTACTGGGCATTTAATATATGCCAGGAATGTGCAATCGCATTTAAGTCTTACTATCATCCTTATAAAATAGTGACAATAACCCTCATTTTGCAGATGAGGACAGACCTAACAGGCAAGTAACATGCCCAGGTCACAGAGCTAATTGGTCAAGTCTCCATTAAACTTAGACTGTTTTGACTTTTGTGTTTAACCACACACCATCATCCCTCCTCCACAGTTATGAGATATACCTGCTGAGTACATCTATGAAACCCTATAGTGGTACATTGGGACACAAATCTTTCTCAGTCCACTCACTTGGTTCTAATTTAATATTCTGAATAAACAGTATTAAATGATTACATTCAGAGGATGCACTGTAATCAGGACTTATAGGTATGGATAAATGATAATACTAGTAATAATAATTCGTATTATATTTACTTTAAAAAGTTTCTGAATGGAAATAACATTTGTTGAGAGTATACCATATGATGATCTGCATTTTTCCTTATATTATCTTATGTAATTCTTAGTTAATTCTCACAACTCTGCAAAATCATTATTATGTCTATGTAAAACTGAATAAACAGAAGTTTGAAGAAATTCGCATTTGGCCAGTGTTACAAAGTTAGTAAATGGCAGAGCTGGAACTTGATTTCAGACCTAGTTCCAAAGAACCTGATTTTCTTTTTTTAAGGTAGCTTATTAAAGGTACATAAATATGTAGACTGATAAAAGAAAAGCAAAACCTCAAAATTAGAGAAAGATGGAGGATAATTATACTAAAAAATTAGGTAATAGTTTTACTATCTGTGCATGTAAAATTTAGCTCAAAACTTCCTGGCTATCAAGAGAAATGTTTACTAAATGCATAATTAAACACATAATTGTTGTGTGGCCTGTTTTAAATATTAACTATGCTTCATATTGCTTTAACAGAATTTTGCAACCTCATCTCTTTAACATAAAACAGACCACTGTTAAGGTGAGAAGTACATTTTTTAAATGGAGTTTGCTATTGCATAAAATGCTTCAACATGCTTTTTTCACTTAAAAGAAATTATGAATGTTTTCCCAGGCCAATACATATAGATCTAAATGGTTATTAAATGGATATTAAACATAATCATAATTGTGACAGATATAGAATTGCACGGTTTTCATATACTGAATCAGACATCTTTTCAAATAAAATATACAGACATATAAATGACCAGTTTTGAAATATGCAGGTAGAGATATGAAGGTAGGCACTTTCATACACTTTGCTTGTGGAAGTCTGAACAGCCACAACATTTTTGGGAAGTAATCGGTATATATTTTTAAATCTTAAAAAAAAAAAAAAGACCCTCAAAAAAATCCAAATCATTCTTTGGCCAAGAAACCCACTTAAAATTGGTCTACAGAAATAGAAGTTTCAGTCCATAAGGTTACAGGTTCAAATGTATTTAATGCAGCATTTTTACAACAAACAAACAAACAAAACACACCTAGAAACAATCTAAACTATCAACAGGGAAATGACTAAATAAAGTACATCTGTACTATGAAACAATACACATCTAGTTTAAAAACCATTTAGAAATATATGTATTAACCTGGAAATAATAGCCATGATTTTAAGTGGATAAAAAAAAAAAGGCCTGGTACAGAGTTTGATGCAATAGCATAACCCATTTTAAACAAACATACACCCTTCAATCCTACATGCACATAATATGGAAGAATACACATCAAATTGTAAAAATTGAACACACAGGCTGAGAACAGAAAAAGGGAAGAAATTATTAACTTGCTTTATCCATCTCTGCACTGACAGTATAATGAGCATGTACTATTTTAAAATATTCAAAGTACAAAAAAAATAAAGGACTTATTTTTCAAGCATTTTATATGCAATTCTGATATAAAACAAGTTAAAAATAAGCCAAAACAAAAGAACTCCCTTTCATAATATTTCCAATAGTACTTCCACATTTACCAATAATCTGGGGAACATAGGAAGTCAATCATATGATCAGTCTAAAAAAATAAACAAAAAACACCCCAACGATCAATGACATTTCCAGTTGTTGTTTTTATAGTCTGGCTTCTTACTGTGT